AAAAAAAGGGGGCAACCCGGCCTTTTTTTTAAATTTTAAAATTTTTTTTTTTTTTTTTTTTTTTTTGCGGGGGGGGGTTCTGAATAATTCAAAAGACTCCAGCTGTGTAAAAAAGTAATTTATCTCGAAATAGAAACTGGACTGAAATGTGTGACAAAAACACAAACATGGTCTTAATCTAAAGAAAAACTGAATCTCAAAAGCACAAAAAAACACTGATTAAGATTAATATAACAGATGAAATCTGGTTCCTTGAGGGCTAAATATAAAGAAATTAATAAGGGATTACTAAAAAAAAATTTTGGACATCTCTGTACACCTGATGGATTTGTTGTATTTGGACCTACAGGCTTATAAGTTCGTATTTACCTTAAACTAGACTCCTGTAGCAGGTCAGGCACAACATTAACCAAGGCAATGTAGAGGAAACCCCCCGCAGTGAAGGGCAGAATCCAGCTGGAGGAGTTTCCTTCAAAAACAACGAAAATCTTCATGAGTAACTAACCAAATTTACACAATTCCCAGCTCATAACAAATTTTGCTGCGTGTAAAATGATCTTCCACTACCTGCACCTTTGGGCGACTGAGCACAGAGGGCAAAACAAGCTCCTAAGACCCCAACCAAAGATGTAGACAGCTGCATCCGGGCGGCACTCCAGCGATCGAACCCGGCTCGCAGCAGAATGGCAAAGTCTCCCACCTGTGGAGGATGACATTTCTCTCAACACAGAAAAAGCTAAACAACAACTGTGTTTACAAAGACTCTAGGAGACAGATATGTCATAAAGCTCCAAGATATGCAAACAATTTATTTCCTAATGAAAACATTGAAGAACTGTTATAATCTCACCTCGTGAGGGATTTCGTGAAGCAGGATAGCAAAGGTGGTGAGGAATCCAACCTGGGAGGCAGAAAAAAAGGCAGGAGCAAAGTGATTTATACACAACAGAAAGTCTGTTTCTTGTAACACAGAAGAATAATGAGAAAATGCCTCAAATGTTAAAAAAGTAAAACAAGGTAGAAGGTTAATTTGTATAATTTAGCTTAAACCATTTGTAGCTAATTTTGTAGCACAAAAGGCCAACATAACAAAAGACAAACATAAATAAAGATAAGAGTTTAGAAAGTGTATAGCTGTAAGTCCTTTATTTATATTTAACTAAAAAAAACATATTTTTTGTTTAATTTATTTCATTTGCATATTTCAACAAGACAACTGTGACAAACACAACACGAGTAAACCAAAAAATGTTGGTAAAGTCTCGCATGCGCATGTTTGAAATATCTAGTCAACTTCCTTTCTGGCACAATGATCAATTCTTCATGCTGTTAACCTTCTGTCTCTCCAGCTGGACTCATGTCCCAGAACTGCAGATACACGGTAACCTACTGAAGCGGTACAAATCCATGTTTCTGGAGTTTAAAATGTACCTCTTAAAAAAGCTTGCATCGCAAAAAAAAGAAACGGACAGAATATGAATATCTTTGAGTCTATAAACTCGATTGCTCAGTCGGTGAGCTTTATAATTAGATGGCCAGGTTTATAACAGCTTAAATGAACATGACTTACAGTAATGCCTTTCATCTTTTTTATTATTTTGCGACATTAGATCAATTTGGACCTTTTCCCACATCAGTCATTGGCATCGTTATTCACCTCTTTAGTCAGTCAGATTGGAGCACATTTTTACTCCACACACAGTGAGGTTCTCCAAACTTTCACAGCTAGTTAGTGTCTTTTTCTTTGTGTGCACTTTCTGCACTAATGACCAACCTATGACTTTTCAGCATCAGCTCCTTTTTGGATTATTTGACCTAGGGTAATGAAGCCGCCTCTCCCACACACAAATGCATATAAAATAAATAAACCTGGCGAGCTTTTGAGCTGACACCGCTTGAAATGGGAACATTTACAGGGGTGATGAAACACCGTGAAATAAAATCCTACCTTCTTGCTCACTGAGAAGCTCCCAGCTACTGCCAGTCCATGAGTGAAGTTATCAATGCAGTTGGCCAGAAGGTTCAGGTATCCACTTGTCTGTAACAGATTTATGAAAAACTGTCTAATTTAAAGAAAAAAAAAATCGAGCATTTTCTCTTTAGTACCCCACGCTAAGAATCAGCCTAAAATGTGGTTTTAAACATATCTTGAATACTCACAAAAAACACTTACTCATCTTTTGACATGATGGATTAATTGTTATTAATTGTCTTAAGCTATATCACCACATGCCTGATTACTACCTGACCTGTAGTTTCAGAACCTGTCTGACCAAATGAAGCAGGCAACAAAATGTACAAACCAACATGTAACATGCCATGCCTTGCCCTAAAATAAAATCAAGAAAATATTTTTGAAACGTGTAATTAACACTCTGGAAAGAGTTACAAAATCATTTCTAAGGTTTTGGGACTCCACCGACCAACAATGACAGTGATTGTCCTCACATGGAGAAAACATGGGGCAAAGGTCAACCTTGACCAGCCAATCAAAATCAGACAGTATGAACAACCAACCAAAGACTTAAAGCAACCTTTTTGAAACGCTAAGGAACCCACTAGCCTCAGCTAAAATCTGTGCTCATAAAAATGGCAAAGATGGCATCCATGAAATTGCTAATCAGAATAAACTTGACACCCATTTCACATTTACCAGAACTTATTTCTGACTAATAACTTTTGGAAAAATATTATCTAAAATGATGAGATGTGTTTTTTTTTGTTTTTTTTTTTGGAAAGTGTGTACCTCTACGTGGACTAAAGAATTTAAAATACAAAAAAAACCCTCCTGCCTATAGTCAAGCATGGAGGTGTAAGAGTGATGGGTTGGAGCTGCTCTGTTGCTTCAATGACTGCTGTTAAAATGTGCTGCCTTCACTCAGTGACCTTTTTAACTTTGTTAATACAGCAGGACACTGATCTAAAATGTATTTTCCGCCGCCGAATGATGCAAGAGAATGAAAGTTTTATAGTCGCCTAGTCAAAATCAGAACTTAAATCCGATTCAGAAGCTGTTTATTTAAAAAAAAAATCCTGATATGGCTGAATTAAAAATACTCTGCAAAGAAAAGTGGGGAAAATTATTTTAAATCCAAACTGATGTAAAAGACTCATTGTCACCTATTACAAATTCTTGATGTCTACTGTTGTTTAAAAAAAAAAAGCAGCAAATAGATGCCAAGAGTTTAGTTGGGGTTTACTTTTCCACATAGAGAGGAAGGTGGCTTTGGCAGCTTTTTTCTCCTTAAAATATGGAAAAACATCATTTGACATCTTCATTTTGTATTCACTGATGTTATTCGTCTCGTACATAAAAATTTATTTTATGATCTGACATATTTAAAAAATGTGTAAGAGGGGAAATAGTTTTTTATTGCCTGTATTTTCATATTGCTGTTTGGTCAGGCAAAAATAATTAATAAATACAAGCATCTTATATAAGCAACCCACATCAAAGTTAACTGTTTATCCCCACTGTTGCCCCATTTTTCGTCATATTCTGGGATATGCTTTGGTTGTCAGCATTACCTTAATTTTCTCTGAGCTGTCTTGCAGACTCTGTAGCTTGGAGGATTTCCATGACTCAGCATGGTGCCCGTTTCTGAGTGATGCCTCCGTTTTGACGCCGAAAGCTGAACTTGACTGTGGAGGAAAAAAAAACAAAAAAAAAACGCTTAACTTTTATAACACGTGCGCTCATCAAAAAAACTCGGAGAGAAAGTCCTCCCAGTAGAATCGTAAAGCTCCCAGCGTAACCAGTCAAATAAAAACTGCAGTTCAGTGGGGTGGGAGTCTAAATACTGCAAAGCAGCACACAGTTTGCTTATGGTCGCTTTTGATGTGCATTACAAGGACTCAGCCATCACATTTATTACTTGCTAGCGCCTCTGTTTTCTGAGAATAGCCAACTTCCCTGTTCCATCATTTAGAAACCACGTATGTTGTCATTTGGACTGAAGCTCAAATAAAGCGAGAAGGAAATAACCTGCGGTCCTCCGGTTGCCACAAGGAAATGTTTGCTCCATCTCAGTGACTGAAGCATGAGGAAGTAATGAAGTGTGATGAATTTTACGGCTATTAATGACCTCCAAGAGACGGGAGCTAAATTTCCAATCTAGAGCGCTGTGCAAGTTTTGTGTAAAAACGATGCATCGATGCAAAACACCGGCATGATTCGCTGCAAAAATATATTCACCTTGTTACTGTTCTTGCAACGCTCAACGTTTTAGGAGAGCACACTGTTAGCTTCCCATTTTTGCTGTAAATCTCTGCCCATGTCTATTGTTGCCTCTGCCTAAAAGCGGTGTTCTCCTGTGGACAGCGAAATGGCTGAAGCAGCTGCTTCATCCCCTGCACTAAAAATAGACACAAGGAGAGGAGCTGAGACGTGGATTCCAATCTTCTCCCTCACTGGCATTAGACAGACATGATGGAACGTGTATTCTGCCTCTACAAACATACAGAACAAGGCTTCTTTTGTTTGTTTGTTTGTTTTTTTTACAGAGCTAGCATTAACTATTTTACTTTATAGACGTAGCATAAAATGCATACACTTTAATAATGAATACGGCCATGCTTTTATGTATATTAAACATGGCATCTCATCTCTGTGTGAGAAACCAAATACAAATATGAACAGCTGTTTCAAATCCGTGAGCTGCAAATACAGTATCTTTGAGGGTTAAGTGGCTCTTTGATAAATGCACTTCTTTTGCTTTTAGCCTTTGACTGGATGACAGGATTGAAGTAGATGATTCACCTGGGTAAATATACACACAGAGTGAGCAGTCAGGCACAATAGAAGAGTACAAAACGCTGGCACTGAGAACATAGGAGCAGCCTGGCCATATCCATCTGCAATACTATCCTAAAGAAAAAAATGAAAAGCTGCTTTGCTTATTTTTAAGAAGGCAGGAGGCTAAACATGAAACCGACACTTGCTTTTTGCATCATTTATAAGGCAGACAAGAAAATCAATAGGGATTTCTTCCCAAATGTGTAGCTGCTGCTGTAAACTGCCGGGTGTGCCGCGGGTCATCTGATACGACAGTCGTCAAAACACAACTGACAGATGTGCAGACTAAGCATCGAAGCATCTGCACAGAGAGCGCCAACAAAAGGAAATAAGCGAAGGCTTGCATCGACATGCGAGACAGAAAGAAATAACAGAAATACTTACAGACAGGTTAAAATTCAGGTCTGAATTTGGGGGGTCGTCCTCGAGGCCGTCTACATCTGGAAACATTTTCTCCAGCAGGTGAAAGGCAAACAGACCAATGAGTACCCACAAGCCCTGGGTCACGTAGTGGTTGTGTTTACTAGCTGGAAAGACAGCACAGACTGTAAATATGTGGGCATGAGATGTACACTAGAGATCTGGTGATGCAGCCAACACGCTGCTTCTAAAAACTGCCACAGACCTGAATGAAGGAATGTATAAATGCTATTTTTGTTCTTTAATGAACCAGTCTTTTTTTCTTTTATTATTCTCTTACAAGAGGGATTCCTTGTTAGAGCATGAATATATTTATGAAAGCTGTGACTCTGAGACCCACCTGGAGGGCCAGAGAGCGCCCACGCTTCGGGAAGGAGGTGAAGGAACACGTCACCAAGGAGACCACCAATAGCAAAGCTCAAGAGCTGCTTCAGCTTCTGGCATCCAGCTGGCAAAGAAGCAAGGTACCAATTATGTCAAGGTATGATTAACAACAATCTCCGTGCTGTTTTAGCTTTAAATACAGTTTATGATGAGCTTAAAATACGCGTTTACGGCATTAAAAAAGATTGTGATAAATTAGTGTCTCTTTTCAGCCTGGCTGTTGTCATTTCAACCTATGAGGCACTTAAATGCACAGTAGCATCTCTGGCTCACCATGCATTACCTATAATAACACTTCAAGGAAACTTTAATCTTGGAGTGGCTGCATTTCTCAGCCCTCAGCCTAAAATACTTCTGGAATGCCACATTAGCATGGGTGGGGCCTGTCAAAGCTTTCAGCCCTCTGGTTCACCTCAAGTGACTTTGGTCGGGTCACAGAGAACAAGGAAAGTGTACAGTAGATCATCAGAATCATTTAGAAGCTACAAGTCTGGATTAAACTGGATATATTATTACATGCAGATATTTTCCTCATGCAAACTCATGTTTAGAAGGAATTATCAAGTATCATTAATGACCAAGGATTGCAATAGGTGGTATGTGTATTAATGAAAAAGCAAAGTCTCAAAGAAGCAAATAATTCCCAAAGAAAAATATGAATACAAAACTTAAGATAAACTAAACTCATTGGCTCCAGCTGGGCATCAAGTGAAATGTAAACATAAAGCACCATCGTGTTTGAATCTATCCTCACAGAACCAGTACCAAGTTTAAAAGTGTTTCTTTTTTTTTCTATGTTGTTGCACTTGGCAGCTGAAGCTCTTCCCACTCAGAACAGGAAACTCTTTGCTGTAGATAGGAATCTTATAAAAAAAGTAAAAAAAAAAAAAGAAAAAGAAAAGAAAAGAAAAGCTGTGAACTTGCATCATTGGACACTATAATTGTTTAGAAAACATGCAGCTGTGTTCATATTTGGCTTCTGCTGATAGTTCACTTCAAGCTGTGTGCTATAGGAAGGCTTGAAAATTTCAGATGCAGCTGCCTGCTTTCCACCAGAAACATCTGTGGATCCCACTGGAAAAAAAAAAAAATCTCTAGTGTGGGGATGAGATTCATCACAAAGATATTCAACTGTAAAACATGGATGGGAGAAAGAAAAGAAGAAACTATTTATAGAATCTTACACCTTTAAAAAAACATAGTAGTAATAATCGTGATTAGGAAACATAAAAATCTATGAGTTATTGCAGATTGTCATTTCTGAATAATTGTAGTGGATACGTATGGCTTCTTATAGCAGCTCTATAGCAAAACAGAAGAAACTGAAAAAAAGCTGCTTACTCTGCTTTTTTGACAGATTATCTAAAGTGATGAACCAGTTCAGAGACACATTAGATGTCTGGATTATATTATTATATTTCTGCAACCATGGATTTCTCATCTTTCAGATGTGTGAACCAGTAGCCCAGTTTACTCCATTTTCTTGCAGTGTTTCCATGTTTACAAAGAAGATAGAAAGAAGAAGTAAACCTGATCATAGTTCCCTCTCCCTCTTGCTACAATCCTTCATATTGTGGCAATATGAAGGATTGCTACAATAGGGGGGGAATTTGGGTTCCTTATAACAGGAGTTCAAAAATCTACTGGATCTGCATGTTAAAAAATATCCCTAACATTGAATAATATAACGGATGCTACAAAAACGCAAACTAAAATCATGCAGGCGTCGCAGCATCCAAACAAGCTAAAGAGAAGCAACAGAACGTCTCAGGAAGATTATTTTACAACATATTTATGCAATTAAATTGATGATAAAAACAGGAACATTTATTTAGGTAGCTACAGACATCTGAATCTGAACACTTCTGCTTTCAAAATTAAAAACGGAATTTCCCAGTTTGGTAAGAACATGGTTCAATCTGAGTTAACGTTGGATTAAAAAAAAAAAAAAAGCAGTCGTGAATAATTTGAGTCATGGTTAAGCTGCAGAGTTAGGGCTACATATTCCTTATCCTACCTTCAGTTTTGAGGGCAGCTCCTGCTTCAATGGGAACAACAAGCAGAGGGAAAACCCCACTGAGGCCCACAGCGACTGAGCCCACCAGGGACAGGAGCCATACATGTGTGTGTTCACTGGTTAAAAAGTCTGCGACCGCCTGCAGGCCTGGGAGATCATCTGCCAGACTGGGGCCCGGTCCCGCAGCTGTAGCCGTCGCATGAGCCATAGAGGTTTGTGTCATCTTCTGGCTGCTTGATGCTCCCCTGGAGGTGAACATCAGCAGAGCAGCAGGGACACACAGAGCAGCGACAGCCCAGCTGGGCCTCCAACAGCTTCCACCTTTCATCCGTCTCTCAGCCCAAAAAACACTTGGAGCCCGTGATGCTGTAAGAAGAGAGTAGATATGTCAAAAAAAAAACAAACAAACAAACAAAAACAAATAAATTACTATTTCAAATGTCTAAATCTTCTGCATTCACTGAAGGCAAAAAAAAAAAAAAGAAAAGATAGCAATCAATAAGTAAAAAGAAAATAAATAATTTGTTAGGTTGCAAATGAATTAAACTGTAGTTCTTAGTGAATTTAGATGTTTAAAAATGTATGACTGCAGTAGAAATTCTGGGCACATAAAAAAGCAAAAGCAGTTTCTCATTTCAACAATCGCCTTGATGCTGTGCTTTGAACGCTCTGCAGGTGTACGTCCACAGAGCCAGATCTCTTTATCGCATTAAAATGCAAACCACTTGTTTGCTGCAGCCAAAAAGAAAAAAAATAAATAAATGAAAAAGATAATATTTTCAGTGAAAATAGCTTCAGCTGGATATCTGATGACATACAAGCCAGGGTTCTGGTTGTTTGCAACAAACTGTTGGCTTTTCCAGCAGTACACGCTCGGTGCTCACGGTTTACTTTGACCAGATGAAATCTCAGAGGAATTCAGAGAATGTCAAAGAAAACTACAAGCATGTCTCTGGTTTTGTCATTGATCTGACATGTCTTCCTCTGTCTTTGAAGAGCCTCTTCCACTGAGGAATGTTTTTGCTTTCTTTGTGGCTCTTTTACATCAAACTGGTTGCAAGTACCAGCTACCAAATCTGCCTCCAAATCCCCAGTTTACGAAAGAATAAAATAATAAAAATGGATTCTATCATTTCTACTGAAGTCTCTCGTGTACATTCTGCACCTGCTGAATGTTTCTTATTTCAGAGTTTAGCATCAAATAGTTTTAAGTGAGTTAGTATGGTTGTGAAAATAATTTAAATTTTGAGGTATATTTAAAAATAGTTGACAGAAAAATTTAAGCACACAGTGACGTACTAAGGATAAGTGATTATAATATAACTGAACGCATCACAAAGATTAACACGTTAGGTGCTGTCATTTTGTCAAACAGTGTGGTTAAATTTTATACGACATAAATTCTAGGTTTTAGTTTTCATTTAACAAAAGCTGACTTGTCCCATTCCTATTGGTTTTGCCCTATTTAAGGAAGTCAACAAACTTCAGTCAACAACAAACAGATTATATCTACATTTAAAAGTATAGATATAACCTCAGCTTTCAATGGAAGGTGTTTTTTTTAATATAGCTGAAAAAATATGCTTATTGTGAACTTTATTTTTTGCTGTGAATGCTGAAAACAACCGAAATCCACATGACGATTTTCAATGAGTTGAAAGCACAGCAGGAATGCTGCCAGCTAAGCAGATACGTTAATCTGTCACTTATTGATCAGAACTGACCCATACTCAGGAGGATCATAACTTCTGAATTATTAAAAATCATTCAACATCAGCTCTTAAATTGGTCAACTGACTGACATTCATAATAGCTTGAATCCACTTGTACCATTCAGTAATGTGAAATGCTTTGAGTTGGAAAGAAGAGAGGCTGTCATGCAACATTTAATCTCGAGTGTTATTTAAGAAGGGCATTATGTGATGACACAATGTGTAAAAAGCTATAAAAACATCCCTCGAAATGGATCTTGTTCAAGTGTACTTTTTAAATAGTATAGTAATAGTAAAAGTATATTTGAAAAGGTTCCATTTCAAGGGACGGTTTTACATATTGTGCTGGAATTTGCTTGATTTTTCTGGTTTGTTTTGAGTGGAATAATAGTAAATTAGAGAGCAAATGAACTTAAAACTGCTTTTATTTTGGACATTTTAAATAGTTATGAACAGAAGCTGACCCCAATTTAAATAGTAAATTGTGTTGCATTCCTTGGAGGAAATGATTCTCAAACATTTCACAAGTATCACCCTAGCTAACAGCTTTAGAAGCAACATCATCTTGACAGACATTTTAAACCCCCAACAGCCTTTTTAAATTTTGTTTAGTTTTATCATAAAAACAAACAAAAAACATTTTTTTTCTTCCCACTAGTACTGCTTCATTAGTTGAAATGTTAAGTTTAATTATACTGATGATCTTTTTTGACATAGATGATTATCATTCCCTAGTCTGAAACTGCATAACTTACCGAGATAATCAGTAGAAGTTGGAGCTTCAAGAAGGAAAGTTAGAGGTTTCCCCACCAAACTCAACCTAAAAATCCAAAATGGCAGTCTTGCTTTTAAAACTTGACAGATATGGTATGCAAACGTTTTCTTCACACTTCCGACAGCTTGTAAGTCTTTCACAAACTCTGAACTGTGAATCCTCCAACTGCGAACGTCCGTGCATGTAAAACAGCAACTTTAGAAACTCAGTGAAATTGGGGTTGACATCATCCAAGTTACACATTGACAGGTAATTGATATTTAGCACAAGTCATAGTGGCAATCAACATTTATTGAGTGGTCCATTGTCTGGCTGGGAGTCCCCAAAATTTTACACACAACACTTCCCTTTGAAGAAGATCTGCTTGAACAAGTAATACTTCTGCTTCTTAGTGGTTATAAGGGAAGAGGGATTTTTTTTTTATTATTTAACTATTGCCAAAAATCGTTTCCACTACAAGCACCAATTATCGCACCCTAATATGTTTACACTGCCACGTTTTGATTAGATCACTGCTCTGTCAGTTACCATAACAACCGAATATCGACAAAAACCTCTTTTATTTATTTAATCAGAGCAACAAAATCTGTGCAGTAAAAGACACTTTTGAACTTAATATTGATGGTTTTACCTTCAAAGCATGAATACAATTGACTGCTGTTAGAGAGATATGAGGCAGACAGAAAACTCCAGAAGGAGCAGACTTCCAGACGGACTTCCTCTTGGCAGATGATTATTTATAATTTTTTCCATTACCCATTTCAGGGCGTCTGACCAGCTGAGGTGACTACCTTTAGTTTAACTTATTGGATGTAAAATGAATGCGTGGATTTATCCTATTATTAAATATTACAAACTCCGAAATGTCAAGTCTGGGAGTTAGCGAAAACACGTGGAGTGAATGTTGATTAAAAACAGTTGAGCTGCAGCAGTAACTGAGCTGGAAAAACTTGGGACGCCATTATGCTAAAAGTGACAACAACAACAAAAAAAAGTGAGAAACTAGGTTTGCGATTAATAATATGTAGTAGCCAGCCCTGGGGTCTGCAGCTCAGAGTTAGCAGGCTAACAGCAGCGAGCAGCAGACGGATGAATGCAGTCGGACACAGTTTGCTAAAGAGATTAGCTCCTCAAGCACGTAGCCACGTAAGTTTTAACGCTAACAGCGGCTGCTCTCCGACAGCTAGCATCAGTTTCACAAACTTACTGCCATGAAAAACTTGTTGAAGACCTCCCTACCCCAAAAAGTACAATGTGAACAATGACTTATTTTATGTACATACCTTGTGGTTTCGACAGTCTGTGCACCAGTGTGTCCCTGCCATCCAGACCTTGATGAATAGCAGCCTGGGTTCCTGCAGACTCCCAGCTGCTGCTGCTGCTGCTGCGGGGCGGACGGGGACCCACACCGCTGCTCTCCCAAACAGCCACGTATCAGGAACATGAGGGGGAGCACCATGGAGAATACAAACACGAGAGGGGAGTCACAGCGTGGAACTAGGAAGAGATTCTAGGAAGTAGCCCATCCTCCTAATAGTCCCAAAACTAACACATTGGAAGGGATTGTTTGCGTATTTGACGCAAATACGCATGAAATAATTCTTAAAATGAAACTTTCTCTCCTGGAGAAGAGGCACTTCAGGCATAAAGCTGCAGATGTTGCATCATCTACAGTAGCTGGTTTGTTCTGTTCAATACGACCGTAGTGTTTTATGCACTTTATTTATTCTATAATAGTGCTGCTGAATATATGAATTAGCCTCATGAGAAATTTATGACCATGGAAGTAATCAAACTATGCACATTTCTGAGCGTTATCAATGTTTCAAATCACTTTCAGTAGATGGTGGAACTGAAATTTAAACTTGCATGCATGCATGACAGTCACTTTTTCCACATTTTAAGCTGCAGCCTTAGATCATATTTTATTTCCTTCCCCAAGCTTTTTATAATAGTTTGCTGGAATTCTGGCCCATTCCAGTGTAACCAGGTCAGGTTTGAAAGCGACCTTTCACCCCATGCAAGTCAAGACTCAATCCGCTGTGGATGAAGACACTCTGTAACCAGCTTCAGCCCGTATCTTAAGGCTTTCGCTTTGATTGCGGGATTAATCTGCACATTTCACATTAAAACATGTCCATCTGAGGACATGTTTTAATCGTATGAAAACTCGACATTTCATTCCTGTTTATAGTTGTGTATATTTTTTGAGTAGATGAATGTTTAAAAAAATATGCTTAAGGAGGTCCACATTTTTCTCTCTCTTATCTTTGATTATTTTTTTTTTCCATGTCACACAAAGAAGCAGTGTGTTTGAAGTCTTACCTTACAATGCATTCAAGAAAAATACAAATCAAAATGGGTTTTCATTTAATTGAAATGTTGTAATTTAATCAGAAGTTTGCACAGCAGTGACTTCAAAATCTGAACTTTACCAAATTGCTTAAGGGCATATTAATTTAATCCATCCATCAATTGAGTATACTCACTTACCCTTGCAAGGGCTGGTGGCTTTCTTGAGCAGTCGCTTGGTGAGGAGTAGGCTAAACCCTGGAAAAGTTATCAGGCCATCACCGAAAAACACAGAGAGTTGAAGAACAGATACAGGATACAGGACGCTCACACTCATAGGGCAACTTAGAAAGTCATGTTTTGTGATTGCGATGATGTCTAAGTACCCAGAAAGTACTGCTGTTAATGTCTCCTGAGAAATGCAGTTGAAATTATTTTATTTCTCAGATCACGTTCATGCTATCAGGACTCCAAATTAAGATGACAATTAATATTACAATATCAGTTAATGTTTCCAATAGATTTTACTTTTTCCAAAAACTTTATTTAAGTTTTGGAATCAGTAACAGTCAGATTAGTTTAACCTAAATAGTTTGTTGCTTTCTAAAATGGTTCAACACCAAATACAAATGACCTTAGAAATGGTAGAACTATGACATAAATCCTGCCATGATTGTCGCTGAAAGAAAGATGATGGTGGCGAATAACTCAGCTTTTTTTTTTTTTTATCTGAAGCTTTGACAAAAAATGTAAAGTATAAATGCTGATATAAAAAAATTACAATTGGTGGGACTATGTATTACTTTTAATTATTTTTTAGTAATCCCTAAAAAGTGATGTAAAGCAAGGTCTCAAAGTCATTCAGTTTTTCTTTAAAATCTGACTCTTTCTTGCTCTTGGAAACATTTTTTGTTTTTTATCCACTCAACACTGACCTATGAATCATTGGCATATGAGTCAATGGCTCCTAAACTGGAACAAACAAGTGTTTTATCCAGATATAAAAGACAACTTGGCAAAGAATCAATTTTAAATGGGATCTCTGGGCACTTTGTTACAGTGGCCATAGATATCTACCATGTCCTTATTTCTTTAGTACAGTCTATAAAACATCCCAGACAACTCAACTTGACCGTTTAAGCTCCAACAAGGCGATTAACAAATAGCTATTACCTAAAGTAATAGATTTAAATTATACATTAGGTAATACATTTCAGGACAATGTTTCAAAGAGATAACTTTTAGGTGACATTCAGCTGTTGATGTGTGTTTGACACACCTTCTTTTGTCCTCTGCTTGTGTTCTTGCATTTGTTCTTTTTTTCTTGTTGGCACTCTGCAACAAACTGTTGTGGTCAGGTAACGTTTCAAGGAAATTCTCTTCATTCGAGCGGCTAAACCAAAATCCAAAGCACTGCAGATTTAGGCGTTGCTGCAACTGAATTTCTCCTATTGGGACAAATTAAGATGTTTGTTCTCAATAACTTGGATTTTGCTGAATTTCTAATTTTCCGCTATTTGGTAGTTTTATCTATAAATATGAACAACTGAATTAGTAAAGGCGTTAGACATGAACATTTTTGATATAAAATATTTTCTTTATGTGAATGTCGCCCATGTTGACAACCGTCTCAGCACCCCGCTCCCTCCCTCTCCTCAGTTGGATGTTTCACATTAACTACCCGACCACCAGGTGGTGCATGTGACAGGCATTTACTGCATGACTTTTGGCTTAACATTTGTTGAAACAGTAGACAAGAGATGTTAATTTATATACAGTGGATGGCATGTATTTATATCTTTGGCTCAGCACTGATTCTGTTTTAAACTTGAAGATACTTTAAGTAATTAACCTGAGATGAAGTAAAGAAGATTCTTTGCAAGTCGTCCGTTTAGATTTTGTTTAGGAATTTGAGGTGCACAAAATATCAATTTGTTCCCAGACAGTTTAGAACTAGCCACAAATAATGATCTCCGTCTTTAAATAAATAAATATATTTGGAAATATAATTATCTTCAAATAGTTGTCAAAAAACAAAGACAGACCTTCTGTCACATCATGTCAGAGGTCCAAACATGTTGCAGAAACGGACACTGTGCTCTTCAGAGACATGGTTTTTAATAATTGTAGACTAACCAAAGTTTGAAGTTCTCAATTTTTAAAAATAGACTAACGGACAGGCGGACTTAACAGTGTGAGATGTGAAGATAACAAAAAAGCATGATTAATATCCGCACTGACTCATCTTTGTCTGACTTGAGCAATACACAAAAAAGAAAGAGGAACTACTTGTTTGGTGGGATCGAGGCCCAAAGCCTTATATGGGTAAATTCGGGCAAAGTGGTTGTTTTTTTATGTGTGTAGTTTGGGAATTAAGAGTTTAAAAAAAGTTAATATCATGCATTGTGGAACATATTGAGATGGCAGATTAGCCAGACTTTGCAGAGCTACATGCTGATCTGTTTTGCGGGAAAGAACAACACACAAAAAAAAACAAAAAAACCCAGAAACAAAATTAAAGTGCCATTCCACTGTTTGTACGCATGTGTACAAATGTCCATGCGCCTCGTGATTCACCCTTGTCTAATAATATCCGCAGGCCCAGTCTGAGAGCTGAAGGTTGTGGAGTCCAGTGAAAATGAGGAATCAGGAATAAGAAGTGAGAGGGCTGGATGTCCCCTTGGCTTGCATGTCAAGTGAGCGTTCCATGTCATTGCGAAACACACGATGGCCACTGAAACCTCGGGGGACCGTCAGCCAGGAAGCACAAGCCCTGACATGGACCGTCCGACGTTCACAGAACCGAAATATTCTGTGCAGTTTGTCCATTTTTCATTTAGAAATACAGTAGCTGGAAGCCCTCGCGTCAGCAAAAAGCAACTTTGCACGTCTACTGGACAAATTACCTCGGTGTTTTACTGGAGGTTCTGATCAAATTGCTAAAACAGAAATTAGAGTGAAATTGATCTTCTTTTTTTTATCTTTCTAGTGAACTATAATTCTAATCACTCCTGCATGAGCTTCTGCATAAAATAAAGCATGCTATGCATCAATGTTTATAAAAGCAGCTAGTTGTGACTATTTAGTTTTTGTTCAATATGCACAGAGTGACATTTAACGTCACAGAAAAATACTTATTCATGCTAAATTTCCAAACAATTTGCAGAGATTCTGTAATAATTTATTTGTGAGATAAAGTCACAATTTTGACCTGATGTCAGCGTTGCTTTTTTCCAGATGATATCTTCATGCCTGATGTTTTTGAAATCTACTTTGTTTAGCAATCAGAGAGTCTCTGTTTCTCCACGCAGTGCTCATTTTACAAATTACTTCTGTAAAAGCTTGATTATTTAGATTTTGCCAGTCTGTTCTGCATTTAGTGCATTTCAAGTCAGTGTTAAAGGGGAAGCGTCAACTATTGACATCTCATAAAGACGTACCCAATGCCACTAAATTCAAATTATGGTGATAACCTTTATTATAGTCTCCAACAGTGCATTCAGTCTGTTTCAGTTTCATGATAAAATGGCTTTGTCAGGAGCACGTGAAAACATACACTTGAAGAACAAACTTCAAATGTAGTAATTAGAAAAGCAGGAGACAAAAATGCACACTGCATGTTTTCTTTTTATTCCAACTAAGTCGTGACAGTACCCTGTTGGGCTTGTTTGAACAAACTAAATTCAGTACCACCAGGATTTCTCACAGCCTTGACAACTCACTTTGTAGGAACAGTTTGCCACCTTCTTGTTTTAATAAGGAAGAAGAACAAGGAGAAGAAGCAGAAGCATTACAGGGCCAACCTAAATTGGAAGAATTAAGGAAGTTTTTAGTTCCCCTGCTAATACTGAGATATATAGAAAGCTTGCATTTTTCAACCACCTTTGGCAATTTGCTTCCAGCGATTCAACATCTCCCTGGTAGAGACCTTTGGAGGCTCGCCGCTGGATGTTGCTCAGAAGATGACGGTAAGAGACGAGTCCGTCAGCCTTCTGAGCGAGACTGTGGGCGTTTCCTGATTTTCCTGCTTAAAACCCTTTGATACGAATTGCTGCTCAGCTGTTACAAAGTGTTTTGTGTTTTGCAAGTTTAGATATAGAGACGAAATTGCTTAAATAAGTTCTTAAATGTTACTGATTGAAGGAACACAGTGATGTTTATTTTCAGTTTTGCCAGAGAGGTTTCAATCATACCCTTAAATCCTGCAAAATGTTGTTTGTTTGTTTTTTTCAGTGTGTTATCTTCACGTATCTAGATTTTTGCATGTATTTTATATTCTTAAATTTTCAAATGGAGAACAGAATGTTTGTTTGTCTCAGTTTGAATGCATAGTTAATTGCAGACGGTGTTTAAAAAAACATTCAAATCATGATTTATTTATTTGTAAAGTGATCTGTGGGACATTTTA